GATAGATAGATAGATAGATAGATAGATAGATAGATAGATAGATAGATAGATAGATAGATAGATAGATAGATAGATAGATGATAGATAGATAGATAGAAGAGAGAGAAAGAGAGAGACAGATAGATAGAGATATAGATAGATAAAGAGATAGAGATAAATAGATAGATAATAATGAAAGGAACAGAAGGAAGATAATAGATAAAGAGAGAAGGAAGACAGGCAGGAAAGAAGTAGATGGATAAGAGAGAGAGAGAATGATAAAAAAGGATGGAAGATAATAGGGAAGGAAGGAGATGGATAAGAGAGATAGACAAACAAAGAGAAAAATGGATATCAAATTTATATTAGATGAATAGATAAATGATAGGCATAATGTAAAAAAGTCAGACAACTATACAGATAGATGGATATAAATAGACATGAATAATAGATAGATATCAGGATCTATCTACATTATATCTATCTGCCTCTACCATCCATCTCCCTCTCCCTCTCCCTCCCTCCCTCTCTCTCTCAGGACCCCCGACCCCTTTTGGGGGTCTTTCACCCGGGATGACGAGGACGATGAAGACGACGAGGATGATCTGGATTTTCAGGAAAACCACTTTTCCCCCGATGGCTTCACTTTCGGCTTCAGCTTTGAGCCAGGCGGGATTCACTTCCACGACCAGTTTGGCTTCCAGGAACTCTTCCGGGATTTTAACAACTTCTTCAACGACATCGGAAGCCGGAGTCTCCCTGCCCCGTCCTTCGGTGGGTGACCTGGGGGGTGGGGGGGGATCTGGCCCAGTTGGGATCTGGAGGGATAATCCGACTTTGATCCAGTGGTTTGAGGCATTTCTTTCCCTCCCTCTATTCCTTCCTCCTTGCATTTTCCTTCCTCTCTCTATTGTTCCCTCTTTCCTTCCATCCATCTTTTCCTTCCTTCCTCTCTTTATTCTTCCCTCCTTGCTTCCTTCTTTCTGCTCCCTTCCTCTTCCCTTCCTTCCTTCCTCTCTTTATTCTTCCTTCTTCCCTCCCTCCTTCCCTCTATTCCTTTCTTCCTCTCTATTACTCCATCCCTGCTTTCCTCTTTCTTCAACTTTCCTTCCCTCTCCCCCTAATCCTTCCTTTAATCAATCCTTACTTACTTACTTTCTCTCTCCCTACCTCTTTCCTTCCTTCCCTCTATTCCTTCCTTCCCTCTCTTTATTCCTCCCCCCTTGCTTCCTTCTTTCTGCTCCTTTTCCTTCCCTTTCTCCTTCCTTCCTTCCTTCCTCTCTTTATTCTTCCTTTCTCCCCGCCCTCTTTCCCTCTATTTCTTTCTTCCTGTCTCTATTACTCCCTCCCTCTTTCCTTCTTTCCCTCTTTCTTTCCTTCCTCTCTATTCCTTCCTTCCTCTCTTTATTCTTCCTTCCTTTCCTCTTCCCCTAATCCTTCCTCTAATCATTCCTTCCTTTCTCCCTTTCTCCCTCCCTCTTTCCTTCCTCCCCTCTCTTTATTCCTTCCTTCCTGCTTTCCTTCCTTCCCTCTATTCCTTCCTTCCTCTCTTTATTCTTCCTTCGTTCCCTCCCCCTAATCCTTCCATTAATCATTCCGTTCTTCCTTCTTTCCTTCCTTTCTCCCTCCATCCCTCTTTCCTTCCTCCCCTCTCTTTATTCCTTCCTTTTTCCTTCCTTCCTGCTTTCCTTCCTTCCCTCTATTCCTTCCTTCCTCTCTATTCCTCCCTCCCTGCTTTCCTCTTTCATTCCTTCCTTCCTCTTATTCCTTCCTTCCCCCTCCTTCCTTCCCTTTATTCCTCCCTCCGTCCCTTTCATTTTTTTTTAGAGTCCAATCCCTCCCACTCCCCTGCTTCTGAATCTTAAGATCCCCCCTTTTCCCCCCCCAGAATCCCCTTGCTTGGACTGCCGCCCGCCTTCCGCCAGCCCCCCTGCTGACAAAGGACAGACCCTCCGTGATTCGATGCTGAAATTCCCGGACATCCAAAGTCGCGGAGCAGACGAGGGTCTCAATCCCCCTATTTCGGGAGGGAGACTCTGGGCCCCTTTCCGAGGGGTAGGTGGGGCTGTCGTGGTCTGAGGGAGGGAGGGAGAAATCGGCTCCTGTAACCCCCCCACTGACTTTCCCCATTCGACTTTCCTTGAATTTCCCAAACACTGAAAGGTGTTTTATTTTATTTTTTCTTTGCGATCTGATAATCTATTTCTCTCTCTCTTTCTTCTTTTTGTAGTTTCAAGGGAGCCAATCGGATGCCCCTGATTCGAAAGATTCCCGCAAAGAGGATGGAGGTCAGAGGCTGAATTTGGGCCAAAGATATCGTGCTTCGCCCCCGGGGGGGGGGGGGGGGGGGAGGGGGTGTTTTTGGGCAAAAAATGTGGGGCCCCCCCCGGGGGGGGGGGGGGGGGGGAGGGGGGGGGCAAATAT